CTGCACTTGGTGGTAAGGACACCACCTGAATTTCAGTCTGGCTGTCTATAAAATGAGGCTGATGAAGCAGCAACTCAAATGAGCTCTTAGGTGAAAGATAGAACAGAAAATGTTTAGAATTCCTCTCCTCACTAATAAAATGTCCCCTAATGTTTATGGAGGAGCCTGGATAAGGCATCACGCCAGGCCATCTTTTTTTTTCTTTGCTTTCCATGAGAAAATACCACTATTTGCATGGGCTTAACTGTTAACAATGCACCTACATCTCAACATATGTATGCCTAGGTGGTTGCCTCCTGCCCTGTTTGCTTTCTTGTGACTAAGTCCATATAAATCTCAAGTGTCCATCTTCAGTGAGCTTTTCTTGATTTTGCCACAATGTGTCCATCCCTACTTCTGATAGCACCACCTCAGTGTGTGCCATCTTGGTGGCACTAACTCCCCATTGTTTGACACCTTGGTAGGGCCATCAGTTCATGCATCTAACTCAAGAGTATGCATGCCCCTCAAACTAGGCCAAAGGTATGTTCCTGACTAGTCTGCTGAATCCAAGCAGACTTCCGGATGTGCCTCTGGAGAAAGGACATCAGTTCTTCTTCCTAGATGGCCAGAGCAGTTGTTTCCATTCTGAGAGTGGTTCTTCTGACTTCCCTTTGACATCTTAGGGTATCCTCAATGTCACATTTTATTTTTTCTTGCTTTACAACTAAAAATACTTACCTATACACAATAGTCTATGGCAATTTAAACACAAAACAATAGCTAACATTCATAGCATACTCTGCAGCTTAGAATATACTTTCACCTTCAATTTATCTCTTTTAATCAACCTTTCTGGAACTGAATTTTCTCCTCCCCCCAAATAAATCACTTATTGATTTCTCTATTTCTCAGAACAGCACAATCATTCTTTCAGTCACTTAAGCTTTTTAAAATCTCAGAATGATTTTGACTTTATGCTTTTACTAACCCCTATAATCAGTCACCTAATTCTAAATACGGGATCTCCCAGATCAACCCCTTGCTTTTCATTTTCTCTGCGTCCACCTTTATCAGAGCCTTCCCTTCAACCCAGCCTTGCTCTGTGAGAGTGCCACCAGCTTATTGTCTGCAATGCCACTGTCAGAAGGATATGGCTAAGATTTTATTTTCATTGTGTCACTCATCTTCTTCCTGTGGTTTAAAGAACAAACATTATAGGACAATGGTTCACAAGGCCATTCCTTAACCTAAATTCTGGGTTTGCCATAAGCAATCTCTTCCTCTTCTCTAGCTTACATTCCACTATTCCTCAGCAGAATACCTTTGCTAGAAATAAGTTTACTCAAAGGTGTCTACCCACCATCCTCCAGAAAAAGAAAAAGGTTGTAATTTTTTGCAGGTCCTTCTCATTTTAAGTGGAGTTCTTTCTACACTCGTTGAATCTGGGCTTATCTTATGATTTGATATAATTAATGGGAGAATAGCTAATGGGAGAATAGCTAATGGGATACAAGCATAAGATTAAAAGTCACCTTTACCCTGGGAGTTGTTCTTTTTCTGTTCTTAGAACACTGGTTGCTATGTAAAAAATGCCCAGGCTAGCTGGCTGAAGAATGAAAGGTGCATGTGCCAGTCACCTGTGCACCTGATGGTGTGACAACTTTCAGACAAATCAGTGAGGCCATCCCAAGATTATTCACTTGCTAACTGATGATGCTTGAAGGAACCCAGCCAGGATTAGCAGAAGCAGAAGCACCTGGCTGAAGTCAGATCAAACTGTTGACCAGAGGAATATGAGCTATATAGTTGTTTTAAGCAACTAAATTTGGGGGTTATTTTATAACTCATTTTTATGATTTGGGTATAAGGTGCCTCCCAAAAGCTCCTGTTAATATAAGAATATTCCGAGATAAAAATGATTATGAGAGCTATAACCTAAATCAGTACATCCTAGTTTGAATGGACTGACCATATGAGTGGTAACTATAGGCAGGTGGGGTGGGGTAAGGTTGGAGGTGGTGGGTTCTTGGGAGCATGCTCTGGAAGGGTTCTTTTTTCCTGTGGCTCCATCCCCTTCCCTTCTTTCTCTCTTTCTGCTTCCTGGCCCTGCCATGAACTGAGCACAGCCCTTCGCTTCATCTTGGGTCTAGAGCAAAGGAGTCAACTGTCTATAGACTGAGACCTCTGAAACTGTGAGCCCCAAATAAACGTCCCCTCCTCTAAATTGTTCTTGTTGGGAATTTTGGTCACAGTGATAAAAAGCTAACCAAAAACATTGATCAATCGATAACTGATATGGTCACTTCATCCTCCAAATTCCATCTCAATTACTATTTAGTATCTTGGGCATTCAATTAAAAAATGTCTTCTTTAATGTTTTGTTTCATTATTTAATTTTGATGTGTCCTATTTCCACCTATTAAGTTCCTTGTAAAAAGATTTTTTCTTTATGTTTCTATATTCCACATATGTGTGAAGTGAATAACAATAACTCCTTAGGAGTCTCTTAGTACTTTTTAGGGACCAGCTATCAATCACATCAATTAACAATCAGCATTTCAACATATTTCAATCATTAATTTTGAATGCTAAAAAGGAGTTGACAAGATGCAACCCACAAAATATAAAATCTATTTATCTAATTTCAAAATAACACATAATATATATTTATGGATTTGTGAATTTGTTTTCAGTAAATTTTGTACTGCAAGTGAACCTACATACCAATCAAAGGGACAAAAGGAAACAAATGTGTAAGGATGAGTGTTTCACAGGAGCGACTACTTGATTTTCACCAGGGTATTACTTTTTCCCAAGACACATATTTCTCCTACGTGGCTTACGACCGTAACCTGAAAAAATGCCAAAAACTAAGCTTTTATTCTAAGTGAGTCACTGATTCTCTTGTTGCTCTTCAATTAGATTTTGCATTTAAAAGAGAAATTCCCCTGTGTTTCTTATAATGATGCACCTGCTCCTTGGGAGATTTCCTCTTTTGACAAGAAATGCCTTAAATCTGGCAAGAAAAATGGCTCCGGGCTTTCTCTGATAATATCAAAGAACATTTGTTTGTATTAGATGTTTGTGTGGGTTTCCCTCCTCTTAAAAGCAATAAAGTACTGCTACAATTCTTTCCAAAACAACAGCACACTAAAAGTTTCTTGGCCTCTATTCTGTGTTTCCACTGTACACCTGCACCGGAACGAATGCCTGGAATTAGCAAAGCTGTGACATGGCAGAGAAATTCACTTGCTTTAGTCACTTCCTTTCAGACATCAACAAATGGTGAATGTCAAATTCATGAATACAGCATCATTTCCACTCTACTGTCTTAAAAACTTTCTTTATGGAATGCTTGCTATAGAGACAAGGGTGACATTCAATGTTACATCCCTTCTTTCTAAATTTCCTTTATCATTATCTGAGATATTCAAAGATCTGTAAGAGAAGGCTGGTCATATTTCTGATTCAAGGTTTGAAAATTCAGCATTTGATTATAGGTAACCCTCTACTAATACACCCTTCCAAAGACTTTTGTGACCAATACCAAAATGTCACATCCTTTTCTAATGGTTTTAACTGCATTTTAAAGGTGTTTCCCTTCACCCTACCATGTTGAATATAATTTGAGTTGCTTTAGAAACAGCCAATAAGCATTCTCTCCCAGGTGAGTACACATTAGCATATTGGTTTCCAACACCTTGTTCTCTTCGATTTTTAAAATTTCAATATGTACAAATGAAATACAGACTACAACCTATTCCCAAGGGAGATGTCTGTTCCATAATACAAAAAATAGGTTTTCGCCTTCCTGCAGATTCAGCAACGAAAGGGGTGCTTGAAAATTACGTGTTTAGAGTGACACCTTGGAGAACTGACATACTCTGCACACATGTAATCCTCATAAACCTCCCAAGACAGCCCTTGCAAACTGCACCCTGGCTGGGCTCCATGGCACGTGGTGTGTGGCTAGATTGTCCAGCAGGGGTTCTCCCTTTTTCCAGGCTATTTGATGGGCACTTGTCAGTAATAACCAAAAGAAGTGGAGCCCAGCCTCCAACAAGTGAAAAGGGGTATAGACAGCAATGCTTCATTAATTAACTTTCCCAAGGAAAGCAATGTTCCCACAGGAAAAAACAACACGTTTCCACCCTCCTAGCGGTCCATTGAAAATGAGCAACAATGCTGTTGCCTTTTTGTTTCCTAAAGACTTTCTTTGCTGCAAGCAGTAGCGTGTTCCTCAAAGAATGCTAGTATTTCCTGTGGAAACTGTATGGCTGCCAGAAATGGCTCATAATTTTTCCTCTTTTCTTTCCGTAAAAAATGAAACAAACAAAACGTGGCACTTGACAATAGCCAAAATTGAGTTTCACCTCACTTACCACCTGCAGATGAAAGTCATCACCACAGAGAAGGCCAAGGGAGAAACATTCCCGCTTAAATGGACTTCCAGCGCAGGACAGCGCTGGAAGGCGGTCCGGTCCGAGCCCGGGCTGGACGGGGCAGCCAGGAAGCCTGGTGCTGATGGGAGAGGGGCTCCCCCTGGGCGGCGGCAACACCAGGTGTCCTCCTTCTTTACGTTTATTATTGTTGTTACTACCTTTGCTATTACTATTACTTCACCCTCTTCTTTTATCAGCTCTTGGGAGCCACTGCACTGCCCATCACTGCTTTTGATAAGATCAGAAGCGGCAGCAAGAATAATAACCACACGAAGAGGGCAGATAAAAAAGAACAATCCTTTGGAAACCGAGGCGGGAGCTATTTCCCCTTCCCCGGAGTAAAGCAACCGCTTGGCAGCCGCCGCCGCCGCCTCTGTTACTATAGAGACCTCCCCCCAAACCCTTTCTGCAGAGGCGCCTCAGCTGCCCCAAGCAGCCTCACAAAGGGGGCCCAGGGGGTAGAGGGAGAAGGGGCGACACCCGCCGGGGTCGCCCGGTGCAAAGTTGGAAAGGCATAGCCCCAGGTGCCGCCGCCCCTCGCCTCCCCGCGGGCGCCCGCTGAGGATCTGGACTCACCGGGTTGCCAAGCGCGCCAGCGACTCGGGACTGACAGACGGACAGATGGACGGCGGCGGCGGGAACAGGAACAGCCACAGTGAGAGCAGACGAGCGGCGGAGGCGCTGCCGAGGCTCCTCTACGTCACAATGCGGCCGGGCCTCTGGCGCCGCTCCCCGGGCCCCCCAACTGGCGCGCGCGGGCGGGGGTAGCCCCGGGGCGGCCGCGGCCGGGAGACGGCGCCGAGGGATTCGGAGCGCGGCACGGGCGCACGGTCAGAGACCCGGGTGCGGCCACCACTGCTGAGGCTGTCGGAGTCGCCGCGCCCTCGGCTGCCGTGCGCACCCGCGCCCGCTCCCCAGGCCAGCGAGCCCTGCTCTGCCTGACTGACAGCGACCCTCCCCGCCCTCCCCGCGCGCCCCCCGCCGGGCCTACGTCCCTCCCTCGCTGCTTCCTGACCGGGGATCCCCGGCCAGCCCAGCAGCTCCTGTGCACCGACCTGCTCCTTTCTTCTTTACCTTTGGCTCTTTTACCTCTACTGCCTTTGCTTTTCCCCAGCTGGGTTTCCCCTCTCCTTCCCGCCTACTTTTGGCCCCCGCTTCCCACTTTACCCACCCCCACTTCGCGACCTCTCCCCCTTGAAATGAAATCGCCCCTCACCGTGACCCATGCGTCAACCGCTGGCACCTCATTGGTCCCCAAACCATTCCTGGGTTCCAGCATAAACCGGGAGGGGGAGAACGGAAGGTGGGCTTGATCCTGGGAAACTGTTGTGTCTGAGAAGCGTTTTGGCAGAGTAATTTGCGTTGGCTCCGAGTCTTCAACCCTCAACCTTCCCCCTCCCCGAGGCTCGCCCACTCTCTTCGCCAAGTAGGGAAGGGCAAGGGGCGGGGAGGGGGGTCCTTTGCCCAGAATGTTCTGTGCTTAAGTGTGGGTGGTGGTGAAGAAGATCTTGGTCTGAAATATTGGCTTGTTAATTCAACAACGTTTTAATGTACTCATGGCCCTATAGTTACATTAACTTTACTTTTAGTGTTTCTTAATTGTTTAGGGGCAGGATGAGGCGACAGTAACGCCTGCAGTGGTGACTGCCTCTTTCCTTTCTTATTTCCGAAATGAAATCAGGAGGGAGTGGAAGCATTTATGGTAACTTTGGCTCACGACCGCCTCGCTGTTGCCCTTTGGAAAGCTTTAAATGGTTTTAAAGAAATCTCTTTCCCAGGCAAGATGACTGTGAGCCTTCACTCAGCAGAGCAATTGAGGACCACAGTCTTGTCCCAGTGTTTGCCTACTTACCTGAAGCTGTCCCAGAGAGGTGTGAGGACCTAAGACCTGGCCAGTTTCAGAGCATCCTTGTTCCCTTTGCTATTTTCAGAGAAGAGCGCCAAGAACCAGATAAACCCAGCACAGTCTGGGTAGTGGCCATTGGGGATGTTTGTCATGTGTGACCCTGTCATTGAAAATATATTGTCAATAAAAAGAAAGTCCTGGTTGTTTAAACTGGTGTTCCCTGGGTAATTAGCGTAAGTAATTACTATATTCGGTCCCTATGGAGTGCATAGGAAAGAGGCAATTATGGGTCTAGGAATGGCCAGAGCAATCCTTGCCCTGGACCTATTTGGACTAGTATCATAGTCACTGAAATGGGGAGTAACTTAAATACCAGCAGACATTTCACGTGCTTTTAATTCCATTTCTTTCTTACTGAAAAGTTAAATTTCTTTCTCAGCTTGTGACTTTTAACCAAGAGCATGTCCTGCAGTATTATTTGTTTATTGTAACTGATCATATATAAGATTCTAAGTACTTATATGGAAAGTGGCTTCAGGAGTTTGAAAATACACATTATCCCTCAGTAGAAAATGTAAAATCAGATGACATCATATGGCACTAAAAATACTTGAAAATATTGGGTTTAATTTGTTCACATCTGGTTAAAATAAAACTGCATTTTTTTTCCTAGTGTAAACTTTTGAGAAAAGCACATCTTGCTTTCATCCGGTAGATACGAATGTATTGTTGTCACCTTTAACATGATCTTCAAAGAACATACTTTTATTCTGTCTTTAAACATTTCTATGCTCTTCTTTTTAAAATCAAATGATTGGCAGAATCATTTTATTGAAGCATTATAAATTTTTCAACTGTCCTAAACATCCCCTAGCTCTAACAATGAGCCAGGTGTTAACTCAGTGTATCTGATTCAACAATAAGGGACTATTGTATGTACAGAAAATGGATGGTTCTGGGAAAGAAACTTTCAGTTTTTGTATAGCATACCATACTGTAAAGAGCAATCTTTGAGATGTTGTTTCAGCTATTTCCTTTATTTTTATAGTTCTTTTGTTCCTTTTTTTTCTGTTTCTAACATGTTTTTGATTACATACTTACCATTGTTTCCATGTGATTATTTTTGCAATGTGATTTGGATCTATGCTTGTATACACTTTCCCACATAGGCTGTGAGCTTGCTTTTGTTTGGACTGTTAGTTGGTTTGCTGCTTCTTTGCAAATTCTTGCCAAATGCAAACCACAAATTGATACACCAAAGTGTGGAAGTAGTTTGGTTGAAACAGATTTGAGATTGGATGGCAAGAATATTAGCTTCCTCAGCATAATGTTGGCTTATTTGCCAAGAAAACAAACTGCTTCTTCCTAGTCCTTCAGGCACTTCTTAGTGACATCCAGTCTCTGATACTGTTTTCTAATTAAACAGATGCCTCTAAAGGTACCTACAACCAATAGAGTAGTTTAGCAGCCACAGCCACTGGGCCACTTTCCCCTCTGAACAAACCCTATGCCCATGCATGCCACAGCGTAGGGTGTGTTTCTCCTAGAGTACTTGGCTTGTTTCTGCTTCTTGCTGGTTTCTTATCCCCTACCATTCAGTTGTCAGCTACCATCAACAATGACAAGGAATTTGTATTACTCATATTTGGATCTTCAACACTGAGCACATTTTTACACTCCGAGTTAGCTACTGAAAATAATTAGTGCAGAAGTGCATTTCACTGTATATCATCTGCCAAAGAGCTGCCATGTAATTGTTCATTCAATTATTACAATTAAACATCTGCCTCCTCTATCCTTTTGCCCAATTTCCATAATATATCTTTATTGTGCTATAAAAATCAGATGAAACTACCATAATATTGTCAGTGATCAAACAGGAATGTATTCTCTATTTTTTTATATTTTTAAGTGCAGATTTTACTTAATAAAAATCCAACTCTGGCGTAAAGGCTCAGTTTTTACTGAGTGATTCTGGATCATTGGAAAGAGTGTATTTGAGGTCCTTTTTAATAATTCAGTTGGGTCGGGCTACTTTTTTATTCTGAACCCAGGTTTGTTTCATTTATTTTTGCCCTCATCACATATAAATCATTGTAAGTTATTTATATCAAGAATCAGACCATACTAAAGTCTTATGCAAATGTGATTGTATCAGTCAGGGTAGGTTAGGTTATGCTGTGGTAACAATCATACAACCATCATTCTAAACTTCCATACATTAATAAAAATGTATTCCTTGTTCTCACTATACTGCAATTTTAGATCAGCTACATCTTTGCTTCACATCTTTCTCACTTTAAGACTCCAGCCTAGTGGAACAATATCACTGGCCACTCTAGTGAAAGAAAGAAATCTCTAGAGTGTCTTACACCAGGAATTAAATGCTCCAGTTCAGTCATTTTTGCTCACAACTCAGTGACCAAACTAGTTGTGTGGCTCTAGCCAATAAGAGCATGAGAAAGTACAACCCTACAATATATCCAGAATATTTTTAAATAAAAACATGAAGGAGTATGAACATATTACATTTCACTGTAGACATAAAACATAAGAGAACTCTCTGGATGTTTTACATAAAAGCAATACAACTATGAAAACTGATGCTGAACAAAAGTATAAATGCTATACCCATGTTAATTTCTTAACATGTTAGTTTCTGAAATAGCTCAGAAATAAAACTAATGAAACTATAGGGCTTTGACAAAGATGATTAGGAACCCAGACTTTGATCATTTTTGAGTTTCAAAGAGAAAGGAATGATTAGAGATGATATATTGTTACCAGTTTTCTACTAGGTTCTAGAACATTTCCTCAATCCTCCTTTCTTGTATACTTGCCTCCATATCCTCCACTTCTTTAGAGTAATGTGTCCTTTTGTGCCTGAGCTGAGCATAAATAGGAATTGGATATTCCTTACCTGATCTGTTTCTATGGTAATTTCTTCACTAATGTTTATTTTTTTCCTTAAGTATTTCTTCCTTTCTCTTTTCTTGGGCCTTTGAGTTTAGCACTTCTAATAAAGTTATAACTGAAAAGGGAGATGAAATTCAAATATGGCATTGTGGCTGCTTAAAATATAGCAGCTTTGATTTAAAAACTTGGTGTAGAAGAAATTTTAAGGATTATTAATCTGATTCCCTAAGATTATCCTGGGAATCCAATTATTCCTATTACTGTGCCTTATGCAGTATTATAAATCATTAGAGGCTTTGTTGTTGGTGTTTTTAAATGGAAACAATTGGACAATATACAAAAATACAACCAGAGACAGCCTGGGGCACAAGTACAGAAAATATCTACAAGAGACTAAGGGGACTTCCTGTAAATCCTCCAATTTGTAAGCAGTGATCTTTCCCCTATGTTCATCTTCCCTAATGAGTCACCAGCAGAGAGCACAGTGAATCGGTAAAACTACTGGAAGAGAGAAAACTATGGATTCCAAACTCTCTTCAGACAATATATAAGTTTCACTGCTGGATTTAACTGTACTAATTTTAATACAATAGCTAGATACTTGAAAGTCAGCATTGAGATTGACTTGGGTTCATTGTTCAGCTTGGCCTTAAGAGACTCTTTGCCCATTCTCCTTAAGCTCCATCTGTAAACCTTCAGTTTTGATTTGAAAGTGGTATTTTTGCAGCTACCCAAGCCCCAGTGGACTGCCTCTTTTTTCCAGGGATTCTACCCACATTTCCTGGAAAGTTGTTTTTTTGCCTGTCAGGGTGAATTCTCATCTTCAGATCTAATTGAACAATTCCCCTTGGGATATATCACAGCCCTATCTGTCACCTGATGTCTCCATTCTGAGTCAGGTTGCCATTACAAGATAGTGAACCCTCTCCCTGGACACTGTGCTCTCAGGAAACAGCAGTAGTTGAGAAACCTGTGTTTTTGTGTTCCAGAAAATGGCTCACCATAAGGAGCCACCC